TGGGGAGATGGACCAGGGATGAGAAGGATTTCATACCACGTCCATTGACACTGAAAAGCCAGGCTCTCATATCTCTAGAGCAGTGTTTCTGGGAGTTGAAGTCCACCCATCTTAAAGTTGCCAAGGTTGAGAAACACTGATGTAGAGCATGGTGCCCTCAATATGTTTTTGACTTCAGCACCCATCATCCAGCTGGCCTGACCAATGGCAAAGGATTATGGGGGCTTTAGCCCCAAACAACCAAAGGGCATTCTTTCCTCTCTCCTTCTTTCATATTTTGCACAGCTCCTGGAAAGGAAATGAATGTAACAGGCACTTTGGAAATAGGATTATTTTACTGCTGTCTTGCAGGGGAACTCAAGGATGCTCTGTGAGAACACTGTATACTTTTGTTTACAATCATAAGAGGGAAAAAAAAAAGAAATAAAGATAATTTTGTGATACTTGAAGCTGTGTCAATTTTCTGTCCACTGCATGAAAGTCAGTCTTTCCTTGATGGGGCATCTTGTGGGCAGGCTAGACTACACTTCTCATAATCCCCAGCCAATGTACATGTTTGCTGGGAGTGATATGAGCTGTAGTCCAACATAGCTGAAAGGTGTCACATTAGGGGAGAGAAGCATGGCCGCAACGGGACAAATAAAGAGATACTGAAAGAAATCTTGGATCCTTGGCTGCTACATTGACGACGTCTCCACGAGATTACATTGTTTTCCCTCTCCCCTCCCATTCTTGGGCAATTCACTTTCTTTTTTTTTTTTTATATATATATATATAGCTTCATAATCTGCCCTGGGAACTTTGGTTATCAAAAGCTGGTGAGCTTGCTGTCTCCATCCTCTGTAACAAACCAAGGTGGTGCCCATATCTCCATCTTGGTCTCTTCTTTTCCTAGGCTGTTGTATACACTAGGCTGCACCACCCATTCTTTCTACAGGTATTTTCTAAGAATGCCTAGGTGTTAGAGGTTATAGGAGGAAAGCCATGTTAGTCCATGGTAGCCAAAAATCAGGAGTCCGGTAGCACCTTTTCACACTAACACATTTTATTAAAAGCATAAGCTTTTATGAGCTCAGCTACAGCTCACAAACGCTTATGCCTTTAATAAAATCTGTTGGTCTGAAAAGGTGCCACCAGAGCCCTTCTGATTTAGGGGCTAGAAGCATTTTCATCAACAGAGAGTAGGCTAGAGGCTGGCCTCTTGCCAGCTTCCCATTTTTAAAGAAAGAGAGCAGCAATCAGGAGGTACCCAAGGGTACCAAGTTGTTAATGTCGCAGAGATGTTGCCTTTTTAATATGTTGCAGCAAAAATAGCCGAGAGTCTAGGGTCACCTTAACACGGCCTTGTAAATAAGCCAAGAATAGTTACTAACATTAAAAAAGCCTTTGCAACATGTCAAAGAATAGAGAACCCTGAGTCTTCATCACATTCAAATCCCCACATACAGTACAATAAAAATCAGTGGTGACCTTGGGCCTATCCTTATCTCCCAGGCCTGTGGTGAGGATCAACTGAGGAGGACAAGGATAAAAGGAGCCATGTACACCATCTTGAGCTCCCTTGGGAAGCTAAGAGGTCAGAAAGTGCCAGGGTGGGCCACTTGGCTTGCTCAGCATCTTCCCCTCTGCTAGCTGGACTGCTGCCTTTGGAACAACAGGTAAGAATTAATGCCAGGTTAAGAAATCCTGCTGCATTATTTCCTGAGCAATTCTCCATCAATGTGTTCAAGAACTTGCTTTGGAATTTTTTAAAGGGAGATTTCTAGAACAATACTCATAGGTGGCATGTTACAATTAGTTCTTTAATGAAGAGGCCAAGGGGTGTGTGCAAATGCCCATCGTTCGTTGTTTGATCTTCTCTCCAGCAATCTGAGCTTCCCTGGTTTCTCACCCTTCCACTAAGCCCCAAGAAAAGACCTTCAGGAGAAAATGAAGGCTGTTCCATTGTGTGCTATGATGAAAGGGGAATACTACCCTTGAGAAATGGTTGGAGAAGTTCTCTTTCTCCTGTGGCCATTATGAGAACTTGTCCATCCTATTTTCCTGCCCCAAAAAGTTGGTGGAGAGTTTTGAAAGGCTAGTTCTAATTGGCTGTAGAAAAAATGCTTCCCTGTTGCCAGTCAGGTGGGCTTCTGTACCCAGAATACTTTGGGAAGGCAGTATATCAATGTAATAAAATAATCATTCTACTACTCTTAAGCATCAAACTATTCATCATATAGTTTTTGCAGTTGTTGGCCAGAGCACACAATTAGACAATTACATAAGATACAAGAAGCTTCTCAATCATTAGTTGGGGACACCCTTTGCATTAAAGCTTGGTTTGTTGAATAATCCATAAATCAGAGGAATTTACACCACATGTAAAGCTATAGACCATGGCTTGCAAACTATGACGATAGGTTCACACACAAACTAAGTCAAAAACAGATTTTGATTTCATCAATGTATGAATTAGCTCCCTCTTTTTCTTTTCTTCCCACCCCCAATCTTTACTAAAAGGAAAACTAGAAACCATGGGAATGTTTGCTGAAGCTATTTAAGGTGGCAAAGGACAGGTCCAGAAATTTCCCAAAGATCCTCATCCCAAGATGACTGAATTCCAAAGATGACCAACAATTTCTCCATCAAAACATATTTGTGAGTGTGTAGGATGAAGAAACAAGCAACCCTTCGTTTTTCTGTTCTGATTATATAAAATACTTGAGGATTTTTTTAACCACTTTGTCAAAAAGGAACAGAGAATAGCTTTGTTGTCTCTCAGGCAAAGGCACTCAGAAATCTGAATGGAAGGTTGATGTCCTTGGCCTGATTTAGATTGGAAAAGCAACAAAGGAATTTTTATTTAAAAAAAAAAAAAAGCCAACATAAGAAAGATAAAATGAAGGAGATTTCAAGTATGAAGAGCAAAGCCAAATAAATAGAAGTAGCCAGAATACTCAGTATAGAAGTCTTATAACCAATTAAAAACCATGCGTGCTGTGACTGCTATTCTACCAATGAGGACTGAAGAAACAAAGCTTATGTGGCTCCTGATTCACTTTTAAGGGCCATTGGAGCTCCTTCTCCTCATTAGTGTTGAAAAGCAGAAGTTCCGTTTCCCACCGTTTTGAGGCAGGAAACACATGAAAATTGCAATACAAAGCTTAACGTGGCCTTCACCTAGTTTAAAACAAAGAAATTCCTGTATTCCCCCAAACCCAAGAACGAACCTGAAGATTGTCCCATCATTATCTTGCCTACGGAAGCCTTCAGCCCTAATCACTAACATTACAAACCACATTTAATGCTTTGCAGGGAAGGGCTGAAGGCTTCAGAAGGCAATGCTGCACCTATATTGAAAGCCAGCTGGGTGACCTTGGGCCAGTCATTCTCTCTCAGCCCTAAGGAGGCGGCAAAAAAATCTTGCCAAAAAAACTTCAGGGACTAGTCCAGGCAGTCACCAGGAGTCAACATTGACTCAAAGGCACCAAAAACAAAATCACTAAAATGTTGCCCAGACCGTTATGCACGTTTTTTGGTTGAGATTGTCCCATTTAACACAGTAGGACCACCTTTTAATTAGGCATGCAGGTGGTAATATAGTCAATAAAGGTTTTGGTCTGCAGCAGGACAATGCAATTTAGAACAAATTGTTACAACCCCTCAACCCAATGAATATTGTGCAGAGAAATCCTTATTTAATTTGATGAAAGAGAATTTGCTTTTGAAATTCCAACAGAAATGAGAATTTTAGTCAACATCTCATTGGCGGAGCACAGCATTCTTGCACCTATCTAGTGACAAGGCAGTCAAGGGGTGCGTGTCGGGCAATCATCTGGCTTCCTACATTTTTATTAAATCCAAGGGAAAACATCACCAGGGAAATCTTCCATAAGGCACTTTGAGATTGGCAGGTGTGGATAGTCAGGGATGAGGAATAGAGAACCTCACTGGAAATGGCTCCCTCCGTAGCTCCAAACGATAAAGACCAAAAACACCAAAGGGAGAAATTCAAAGAAATTACCCAGCATTCTAAAA